CCTTCCAGATCTTCTGCCTTTGGAAGAGGTGGCTCACGTCCTCTTCACAGATCTTGAGTGCAGATGTGGGATCAGAGAGCAGGCCTGTAACTCCAGCTTTGACTTGTGGGTCCATCTTTTCACACTCTTTACAACAGGTTTAGCAGATTTCAGTCACTGCCTGTATGTTGGAATAAGATGAACCAGACAGTGATCAGTTAGTCCCAAGGCTGCACGGAGGACGGAGCGATAGGCGTCCTTTAATGTTGTGTAGCAGTGGTCCAGTGTGTTAGTGTCCCTGGTGGGACAGTTAATGTGCTGTCTGTACTTTGGAAGTTCATGGCTGAGGTTTGCTCTGTTGAACTCCCTGAGAACTATGAGCATGGAGTCTGGATGTTTTTTCTCCACGTTAGTTATCTGGTCAGCCAGGTGTAGTAACGCCTCACTAACACAGGCCTGAGGTGGAATGTAAATAGCAACCAGGACAAACGAGGAAAACGCCCTCGGAGAATAAAAATGTTTACAGTTGTTGAATAATGTCTCTAAGTGAGGGCTGCACTGTGACATCTGTGCACCAAACTTCATTTATATAGAAACAGAGTCCGCCTCCCCTTGTTTTTCCCGTGAGTTCCCTTTCGCGATCCACGCGGAAGAGATTAAATCCCGGTAGGTAAAGTGCGCTGTCCAGGATTCGGTGAAACAGAGGGCGGCAGATCTGCAAAAGTCCGAGTTAGTTCTGTTGAGAAGAAGCAGTTCGTCCATTTTGAGAGCGGATAGTCGTTAGGTGAATTTATGATTTTTTTATTCCCACGCCAATGTTGTGCATTGTCAGCAGATGGCGCTTCATGCACTATACTTGGGCTGTTGCTAATGCCAGTACAGTAAAAGAAGTCGTGATGATTAAATTCAAGTTTGCACATGAAAGAGCACGTCATATTTCCAACAGAAATGAAATGTGTTGCCAACAATTAACATAAATATATTATAAATATAAATATTCAAATTTTTAACTGACAACATAAAAAATGTAAACAATAATTACGCATATAAGCAATGTGGCATTTTTATTGGATTTACTTGTGCAAACATTTACAGTATCTATAGTATATATGTAAAGGGATACTGTTGAGAAGAAGATATTTTAGAGGGAAACTCAACCCTTTTCACTATTATGTTAGGTTTTTTTTTACATACAGGTCTGAAAGACACACACATGCACAAACAGGACCCATAGCAACACACGGAGAGATGTCAGAGTGAGGGGGCTGCCACTCAGTGCGGCACCCCAAGCAGTTGGGGGTTCAGGGGCTTGCTCAAGGCAGTGCCCAGGAGGTGAACTGACACCTCTCCAACTACCAGTCCATGCTCCGCAACTCTGGTCTGAGCTGGATTCAAACCGGCGACCCTCCGGTTCCCAGCCTAATCCTTACGGACTAGGCTGGGAAGGGGAAATTAGTTCTCTGCATTTAACCCATCCTATTTAGGAGCAGGGGGCTGCCATCATATGGCGCCCGGGGAGCGGTTCTGGGTTCAGGGCCTTGCTCATGGGACACCTTCGGCATAGGGTTGTGCTGGACTCAATCCGGAGACCCACCGGTTTCCAAGCCAAGTCCTAACAGACCGAGCTAATACCACCCCTAGTATACCGAAACAGTTTGTGTTCGGAGTGGGCGGGGTCAGTCACAATCCTGCTCGCCTCAGAGTCCTGAAGGTGTTCAAGTCCTGAAGGGATGGTAGATTGCACCTAGATCACCTTCTCCTCAGAGAGAACGATACACTGCAGTCTGCTCTTGTCCCTGGCAGTGGCAGGAGTGTACCAGCTGGTGATGGAGGAGGTGAGGATGGACTCAGTGACGGCGTTTTTGCACCATCATTCTTGCTGTCAGGTTGAACTTACTCAGCTGCAGCAGAAATGACAACATTGCCCTTGTAACACATACTACAGGTTTTCATGAAAGTACTGATCATGTTGGTGATGCAGGGGTCTCAGAAACTCATGTAGCAAATATGATACATAATCTGAAATTATCCGTCTTTTTAATTATATACAGTACTTTTCTCCTGAGATTCAATTGAGATCTGTTTTGTTTGCTAGTGGTACAAATATTTATAATAAACATCTTGTCACCAAATCAAATTCCTGTATGTGTAAAACTACTTGGCAATAAAGCTGTTTCTGATTGTGGTATAGTGTGAAGTGCTGCATCCAATGATATCAAACACTTTGGCTATATGTTTTTGTGTAACTTTAAAACAGCTTACAAATAAGATTAAGATACATTTTACTTTACATAGTGAATAAATAATACACATTACTTACATTAACATAATGAGGGGTGTTGGTAGTACAGCCCACACAGCAGTAACAGCAGTTTGTCAGCCAGCACATGTTTTACTCACCAAAAGACATCTATGTGTGAATTTCCACACCCTGTTTATCGCAATAGACACAGAGAAGCGTCCAGGCTCAGGAGGGGTGGTATAGACAATGGATCGCAGTGCTACTGTGATTACACTGCTAACAGAAAGAAGAAGTGATAGGTTAGCATTTCACAGCCCAACCAGTAAATGAAAAATAGAAGATTGACTGGTTCCTGTTCAAATTATACAAACTCATCATTAACACAAACCTCCCCTCTTTAAAGACTGGGTCATGAGGAGTATCACTTCTTCAAAATGCCCCTTTTCAACAATTTCAGACTTTTGACTTGAAAATGTGTTTGGCCCTTTCATTTGTGGCCCAAAAGAACTAAGAACATACATTCCAGTATTCCACATCACAGACGGCAAAAGTGAGAGAAATAAAAGGACACAGTTTGTCATATGTTGCTTTTTTTTTGTCAGAAAAGTGGATCCTAGCATCTAAATATTGAATTATGCACCCACAGTGTATGCATGAGGGGTGTTTGTTGAAAAGCATGAGTTGGATGGATGGGATTTTTCATCATAAGTGTTAGACAGGAGGGTTCCAGGACAACAGTGCGCAGTTTACGACCTCTTCATGTGATTAAAACTCTATTAATGGATTTGTTGGCAGCAGAACAACTTGATGCCATATAAACTTTATATCTCACACGTGAAAAAAAAACAACATGTGACATATAAAGTTGATATGGCATCAAGTTGTTCTGCTGATATGTCTATTGATATAACAAATGTGTTAGTGAAGAGCCTGTTTACATATCCAGCTCATATGGAACAATATTAGCATTTATCCATCTGGTTCTTTAGCTAAATGCTCCATTATGTTCACCAGCTAGCCACCACCTTCACATGCCTGCCATAACTGGGGGGCAGGTAGCTCACAGTGGATTTATCAAACTGCTTTTCTATTAATGACAGCTAATCACTGAATCTGAGTTTTTGATCATTCTCTGTGGGTTTGTTGTTACTAGCAACCATTTTCACATTGCCCACACATTCTGTATTTGAAATATAAAAACACTGTTTATAGGGTTTTGTTGAGTTGTACATCCTCTTTTGTTTAAGTATTTATATTTAATTTATCCCTGTCTCTGTGTTTTTGTTATTGGGTTATTTTGTAATAGTCACCTATTCTGCCTTCAGGTACAGCTTTTAATGTGTTGGTAAACCTGCTTTATGTGTATTGGTTGTGCCTTCACGTGAAAAAAAAGCAACTGTATATAAGAAGCCTGTGGTGTATCACGGATTGTTGTAAGGACCTTTATGTATTTTTTCGACCCACTCATTGTTTTGCCACAGGGTAGGTTTTAAAAGGAGAGTAGGAAGTGACGTTGGGGGGGAACTCTAGAGCGCAACAGGTGGAAGCAGTCGGCGTTTAGTGGGCTCTGTGTAAGGTTTGCCAGATGGACGCAACAAAGGAACTTTTGTTGCGGCATCATATGCTTGGACTTTTCTGGACTACTACATCATTCCATCAGCTAAACAGACTGGGTCGAGGTTGCATAAGTTAACTGTGGAATATTTTTGACTGCGACGGCTCGCCATGCTCCACCTGGTATCTTTTTCGTTTTTTCCTTCTTCTTACCGGAGGACATCGGCTTCCATCTTGAAATACAAGCTGTGAAACCAGTCCTATGGACTTTTTTCGTTAATATATATAATTTTTTTTAACAGGTGCAAGTTAGTTGCTTATGTGGTTAAGCAGGCTGCCGATTGTAATCTCCTAGGCAGGTATCAGAATCAGAATAAATGTATTTACATTTAAATTCTGAATGTGTTTTTTTAAAACAAAGATATTCCCCAACATAAATACAATATACTATATAACATTTACCAAAACCTGAAACCCTAAAACCACACACCTCTATAATTTTAAATATTTTCAATAATGTTCCTTTAACTTTAACTTATTCTTTATTCTAAACGCTTAAAATAAAACATTATTGATCAGTACATTTAATCATTTTTTGACAGCAAGTCTGGCTCTAATTAATACATTTTTCCCCCATTTCCAGACTTTGTGTGGAGCAAATCCACAACTGTCAGTAGTTCATAATAACAAAAGAAACTAAATGTGGGTGTAGCCAGTAAAATAAATTAATATAAAGATCAAGCGCATTAAATATTTAAGATCTTAATATATTATTTAGGATAAAATTAATTTGTTTTGCACACTCAATACATTAAGCTTGATAATCCTCGAGCAATATTTGCTGTTGGGCTCATATTGACCACATATAATCAAACTCAAACTTGCAATATAGCAATCCAGCCTTGACTGTACAAAAATACTGCACGTCCAACTGTTTTACATAAACCAGAATAACATTCTATCAATATTGTTGTCCACAGACAGAGGAAAAATTGCACAATGCTTTTATATAAAAAATGTCCAGGAGTCATAAGAGACAAAATTGGCTCTTTGTCAGATGGCAAAATACAAACATACTTTTCCCAGTGTTAAAAATGACCAGTCTAAGAGTTTGGGAGCAACACTGCTGGCTCTGTGAGGCTGTTGTGAGCTAAATGCTAACCACAGCACACTAACATGCTGATGTTTAGCTGGTATGTTTACTGTGTTCAGTATTTTAGTTTGTTTTAGTTTGTTAACATGCACTAATTAGCACTAACCACAGTACAGCTGATGTTTATGGAAATGTCATTATAGGTTCAATGACCCTATCAGACTCTTAAACTCTAATTCATCCTCAGCACTGCTCCTTTGATCATTGAATATTGTTTATTTCTGTGTTAATGTATTTTGTTTTCTACGTAGCAGAAGAGTGTTACAAAGCTCAATTTCATTATATAACCTGATATATTGTGACAATAAATGAACCTACCTACCTATTAGTTTAGCAGGCTGCTAGCGTTGCAAAACATTTTAGAGTGTTTAACAGTGCTGCGAGCCCTCAGAGGTCAGAATCAGTTTTTGGTCTCAGCCCCTGGACGTCAAAGAAAGATGATATGCATGTGTTTTGTACAGAGTTTATATCTAACAAGCCACACCTACAATAACTTGGCAACACTAGGAAGTTACAGATTGTCATATCAAAAACCAAAGGGATAGTTGTTTTTTGACTCATCTAATTTATTAAAATATTGTAAACAAATTAGATCAGTGGATGGTAGTTAATGTAGGTAAATGCCAAACCTAAGAATCTAGAAACCAACTGACTGATCCTTTAGGTGTTCTATTCCTACATTTACATTATGCCATATTTAAATCCTCATTTTCCGTATAAACGTCCACTGTTTGTTCAACAAATGGCTGGGTTACATTTACATAGTCATCTTCATCATCATCACTGCTTTGGTTTACATTTACATAGTCATCTTCATCATCATCACTGCTTTGGTTTACATTTACATAGTCATCTTCATCATCACTGCTTTCTGCTTCTCTGTTGTCCTTCACATGGAAACAGACCGCTGTGGCCTTTATAGAATTTGCATCGGGGCCAGCTTCCTCATAATCATGATCTTCATCACTCTCCTCTTTTTCCCCTCTCCCTGCTTCCTCTTCGAGTTTCCCCTTGGTGTATACTGGGTCAACACTCACATAGTCCTCCTCATCATCATAATCTTCGTAATATTCATAATCGTTACTGCCTCTGACAGACACTGAAACACAAGCATCAGGACAAAATGTTTCATTATTATCAGAATCAAATTAAAACACACATATTGGATGGAAGTGCATTTTGAGAAAATGAAAAACAAAAAAGAAACTTTCTAATGTCATGTACTATGTGTCCTGGTGAGCACACACATTGAGTTTGGAAGATGGTTCCAGGCTGCTTGGCTCGCCGTCTTCTCCTGACAACCAGACAGACCACCACCAAGACCAGCAGGAGCAGCAGCAGACCCCCACCTGCTACTGAGGAGACCAGCGGCAACAAAGGCACTAGGAGAGAGAAACATTGATGATATCCAACCTCTCTTTCAACAGACGAAACAACACATTTGTTTCATACAATCAGCTTCCAAACAGTTACTAAATAGACCTTGCCAAGAGATTGTTTTGACAAATTTCGTTTCCATGGCCAAGAAAGATGTGGCTAATGTGCAAACATCATCTATCTTTGAAACCCATTAATTTTCCCCATACAATCTTTCCAGCACCTGCAGAGGCTTAGGTCCTTGCAAAGCATTTTAAGTGTAAGAAAGAAAATAACTTAACCCAACACTCAACCTCATATAACACTGATCAAGAAGCAAACTGTAGCTAATTCAGTAAGATTTTTAGCTGTCTGGTGACATTTTATGTGAGTGTTTGTGAGTTTATATGTGTCCTTTGTGTCAAGGCAAACTGTTGCCAGTTTTAATGTGTTAAGCAGTTGTTGTATGGTATATTCTTTACTAATGAGGAGAGGTTTAAAGATTCTGTCAGGCCTGCAGCAGGTTGCAGGGATAACTTCCGATTATGTTTTAAGGTGTGTTTTAGCAGCGGGCAGAGGTTATTTTGTCTCAGTGTGTGTGACTGTGTGAGTGTGTGACTGACTAATGCTTGGTGCGAGCTGCGCTGATTCGCGGTCTGTATGTCAAGGTGTCCTTGGGCAAGATACTGAACCCCAAATTGCATGGATGGCTGTTCTGGCAGTGTTTGAATGTGTGTGAATGTTAGTTTCTGTTCTGAGTGTGTGTGAAAGGGTGAATGTGACGTAGTGTAAAAGCAATCTGAGTGGTCAGAAGACTATAAAGGCACTATACAAGTACAGACCATTTACCATAGTTCATTCACTAGTTACTGAGACCTGATCCAGGACGACTGGTGCTCCAGCTTCGTCCCACAGTCCAAAGACATGCATAGATTCATTGGTGACTCTAAATTGCCCCTAGAAGTGTGAGTGTGTGTGTGTGTGTGTGTGTGAATGGCTGTTTCTCTGTATGTGCCAGCCCTGTGATAAACTGGCGACTTTTCCAGTGTGTACCCCGCCTCTCACCCAGTGTCAGCTGGGATAGGCTCCCTGCAACTCTGCATGGATAAGCAGGTATAAACCATCGTCTATACATGTACCACCACAGCATGCTTTTAGAAATGTGGCTTGTTTTGTCTGAAGGTTGATCTTAACTGATCTAAAATATTATGTTATGATGTGATAAGGTTACGGCTGGTCCATGCACAACGCATGCAGCTCATTATTTCTCTATCTGTTGCTGTTTGCTACTCCTAGCTTTACAGGTTATCCTACTGTCTGTCAATGAGCGGTTGTGTTGCTGATGCAGCCATACGCAGTGAGTATTTCATAAATTCACCATGAAATTTCATTTCAATATAGCAACAATTGGGCCCCTTACTCACCAAAGCCTTTTTTGCCAGCTGAAAATACCCAACAGGGAGCGCTAGCGTTTTTTTAATTTTTATTTCTGGACTGCTTTGGTTGCTATGATACATTTGTTGCAAATAGTTCTACCTAACTTTACTGGATGTAAAAATGTCAACACAGAGTAGAGTCCTTGCTCTGTATGAAGGTGTCACGCTCTGCCGGTTGGCCATCCTTTGTGTTGCACTTTTGAGTTTAGTATCTGCCTTAGTAAGTTGAGTTTTGGGTTCTGTCCTGTCCAGTATCTGCTATATAGTCTGCTCGTCATGTCAAGTTTCTCTGTTTTCCTCTGCTCTCTCTCTCTCTGCCTCGTTAGCCTCATGTCTGTCACCTGTGTTGCTCCCGCCCTGCTCGTTAGTCCCTGTGTATATATACCTGGTGTTTCTGTCTTGTCCTTGTCCGGTCATTGTTCATGTTACCCCCCAGTCTGTCGTGTGTGTACTCTCTGCCTTCCTGCCTGTAACCAGCCTTGCTTGTCTTGTCTCGTCTCCCTGTACTTTTGGCTTTTGGATTTCTGATTTCTGTTTTTCAGCCACTCACCTGTAAGTGTGCTCGCTTTTGGTTATATTAAAACCCTTCGTTGAACTATACCTGCTCCGCTCTGTCCTGCGTTTGGGTCCTCCAACCTGCCTCCACACCACGATCGTGACAGAATGACCGGGCCTGAACTGCTTGATCTGTGCCGGGAGATTATAGTGCTGAGGAACATGTGGTATGGGGCTAGTCATGTTAGCCACAAGGAGGCTATCGTATCCCTCACCCGAACAAAGTTGGCTGCAAATCCTGGAGCGGCCAACTCCTTTCCTAAGTGGGTGCTGGACTTCCTCCGCTCCTCAGCCGATTCCCCAGCCTTATCTGTTCGGCTGGCGCTGCTAGCCCTCCACCTGTCCTGCCTGTTATCTGTTCGGCTGGCGCTGCTAGCCCTCCGCCTGTCCTGCCTGTTACCTGTTCGGCTAGCGCTGCTAGCCCTGCGCCTGTCCTGCCTGTAACCTGTTCGGCTAGCGCCGCTAGCCCTCTGCCTGTCCTGCCTGTAACCTGTTCGGCTAGCGCCGCTAGCCCTCTGCCTGTCCTGCCTGTTACCTGTTTGGCTAGCGCTGCTAGCCCTGCGCCTGTCCTGCCTGTAACCTGTTCGGCTAGCGCCGCTAGCCCTCTGCCTGTCCTGCCTGTAACCTGTTCGGCTAGCGCCGCTAGCCCTCTGCCTGTCCTGCCTGTATCCTGCTCGGCTAGCGTGGCTAGTCCTCCGCCTAGCCTGTCCGTCCGCCTGCCTGCCCTACCTACCAAGGACTCAGGGACTATGACTCTCCTGGCCTACCTGACCATGAAGGCCAGGGAGTCAGAGGCAGCACGGGCAGCTAGCCTATGGCCTGATAGCCTGGAGCCTAGGCTTCCCCCGGAGTCCTCCTTCGAGGGAAGTCGCCTGGCCATCTTTTCGGGTTCCCGTGGTGGTCATCGGAGGTGACCACGTCACCATCGGTGACCCGTCAGCAACAAACCTGTCCCCCGGCTTGCTAGAACGGCTAGCCGCCTGCCTGATTCCCGGCCCGCTAGCGCTGCTAGCTCCAAATCAGACTAGCCTGATCCCTGGCCCACTAGCGCTGCTAGCTGCCTGCCTGATCCCTGGCCTACTCCTGCTCCCAGGTCTCACTCGGTGGTCCTACCGACACCTGTTGCTGGTCCCTCGTCGAAGGTCCAACTGACACCAGTTACAAGGTCTCCGTCGGTGGCCAGACCAAGCCCTGCTCCTCGGGTCCAGTCTATGGTCTCTAGACCTCCTGTTCCCCCGTCGGTGGACCGACCAATACCAGCTCCGTTGGTGGTCCAGCCGATTCCTGTTCCTAGTGCTCCGTCAGTGGACCGACCGGCACCAGCTCCACCGGTGGTCCAATCGACTCCTGGTCCCCCGTCGGTGGCCCCACCAACTCCAGCTCCGTTGGTGGTCCAGCCAATTCCTGTTCCTCGTGCTCCGTCAGTGGTCCGACCGGCACCGGCTTCGCCGGTGGCCCAGCTGACTCCTGTTCCCTCGTCGGTGGTCCGACCAACACCAGCTCCGTTGGTGGCCCAGCCGATTCCTGTTCCCTCGTCGGTGGTCCGACCGGCACCTGCTTCGCCGGTGGCCCAGCCGACTCCTGTTCCCTCGTCGGTGGCCCGACTAACACCGGCTTCGTTGGTGGCCCAGCTGACTCCTGTTCCCTCGTCGGTGGTCCGACCGGCACCTGCTTCGCCGGTGGCCCAGCCGACTCCTGTTCCCTCGTCGGTGGCCCGACCAGCACCAGCTCCGTTGGTGGCCCAGCCGACTCCTGTTCCCTCGTCGGTGGCCCGACCAGCACCAGCTCCATTGGTGGCCCAGCTGATTCCTGTTCCTAGTGCTCAGTCGGTGGTCAGACCGACACCAGCTCCTCGTGTCTGGTCCATGGTCCCCAGCCCAGCTGTCCAGTCGGTGGTCAGGCTGACTCCAGCTCCTCGTGTCCGGTCCGTGGTCAGGCTGTTTTGGGTTTTGTTGACCATCTGGAGACGCTCGTCGGTGGGGGGGTACTGTCACGCTCTGCCGGTTGGCCATCCTTTGTGTTGCACTTTTGAGTTTAGTATCTGCCTTAGTATGTTGAGTTTTGGGTTCTGTCCTGTCTAGTGTCCAGTATCTGCTATATAGTCTGCTCGTCATGTCAAGTCTCTCTGTTTTCCTCTGCTCTCTCTCTCTGCCTCGTTAGTCTAATGTCTGTCACCTATGTTGCTCCCGCCCTGCTCGTTAGTCCCTGTGTATATATACCTGGTGTTTCTGTCTTGTCCTTGTCCGGTCATTGTTCATGTTACCCCCCAGTCTGTCGTGTGTGTACTCTCTGCCTGCCTAACCAGCCTTGCTTGTCTTGTCTTGTCTTGTCTCGTCTCCCTGTACTTTTGGATTTCTGTTTTTCTGCCACTCACCTGTAAGTGTGCTCGCTTTTGGTTATATTAAAACCCTTCGTTGAACTATACCTGCTCCGCTCTGTGTCCTGTGTTTGGGTCCTCCAACCTACCTCCACACCACGATCGTGACAGAAGGGAAGGCTGAAGCAGATTGAGAGAGAGGACGGACTCGCCGTATGTGGGTTCATGACATTTTGTGGGCGAGGAAACATCTCAGTGAGTACCACTGTTTTAGTCCAAGAGCTGAGGTTCGACGAAGCCCGGTTCCAGGATAGTAACCGTTGCTACGATGTGGTATTTGACCCGCAACTCCTCTACTGTTATTGGACAGTGACGAGCGCAGCGTTTTTCCCAAAGTTGAACATTTTTCAACTCTCGGAAAAAAACGCTCAGCACTTCGTCACACTGCTGCCGTATTTACCAGCTCGTAAAAATGCGGCGCTCCCATTGGAATTAATTGAAAAAAAGGCTTTGGTGGACACGGGCCCTTAGTTTAAATTCTCCATTCTACTTACTTTTGATGAGGACACTAATTGGTGCAGCCATGGGAGAAGTGTATTTCCGTGTAGACCATGTGACTTCATACACACAGCTGTAGTTGCCCTGGTGTTCGTACTCAGCAGCAGGGAAGTTAAAGGAGGCTGAGTGGTTGACTGCTGGCTTGGGGTCAGTGATGTTGGAGCCAGAGAAGATGAGGAAGAAAACACCAGTGGGATAGTGGGAGGAAGTGGAGCAGGTGAAGACAAAGCTGTCACCCCTGGTGACCTCTGAACCTCTGTTAGGAGACGTCAGGGAGATGCTGGGCGGCTGCAGTCTCACTGGGTAAAAAAGGACAAAGAGTCCAAATGTTTCCAGCAAAACCACACTACAGAAATGTTTGACCACACAACAACAATCTTTAAATATATTTAATGTTTAAATGTAACTGTATTTTTTTATATCCCACCATGATGTTGTAAATGCTCTTATTAAAGAATGCCCCACAGTAGCAGAAATGTATTTGCTGTTGCAGACTAAATTTCTGACTTTGATTGAAGTTACATTTCAAGATACTGGGCTTTATTTTTATTTTACTATTATTTCACAGTGCTGTTTTGCATTTCTGAGAATAAATTATTCAGAAAACCACCGTGCTGTTGTGGTGTTTTCTTTGAAACTGAACTGTGTTGTTATAACTTTTAATGCGTAAAATAAAGACTATTAGGTCAACTAGCTGTTCTTGTGACCATTTTGAGGTTGTTTTCACCTAGCACCATTTCTATTACAGCAGGCGGCCTGTCATGTGGCCAACATAGTGCTACTAAGATCTTAGCATCCATTTCCTAGTGTAAGTTCAGTTATAATGGACCAGTCTGGTGTGTGTGCTTATTTTGTAGCAGCAGGATGTAATTTGCTCGTGATTTAGTCAAGATAAACACAGTGGCTGTCACGACTTCAGCAGGTTCACTCTCCCTGACATTACAGACCCTTTCACTCCCTGCTGCCCTGCAGATACCCTTTCATTCCCTTCACCTGACCTTTCCACTCACTCACCTGATTCCCATCTTATTTCTGATCAGCCTCGTAGTGAAAAGTGAAGTTACAAGTTAGGTCAGAGCGGGTGCAAAAATAGGATCCACTGGCTGGTCGAGTTAGATTTAATGGTCTCACCATATGGCTGTACTTTTATTAATGCAATTGCTATTCTCACTTATTTGTTGTATTAACTTTATTAATTGTTTGTCTTACCAGTAACAGAGAGTCTGACAGAGTCACTTAAAGGGGAGCTGAAGTCTCGACTGGAAACACTTGTCTGATACTGACACTGATACGATCCCTCGTTGACAAAATCAACATGCAAGATGCTGAAGTAAGCAGAGTTGGTCCTTGATGTTTGGTTCGTTCTGAAGGAGCTGGAGGTTTTCATCAGGATGAATGTTCCACCTAAATGCTGAGTTGAGATCAAACACGTGATGCTGACGTCCTGACCCCAGGTAACCTCACCAGCAGGATCCATGGAGATGCTGGGCTTTGGAAGTCTCACTGAAAAACAACACAATATTAGAGCAGTAAATGGACTGACTTTGAGGTAAAATTTTCTGCTTTTTTAGTTGGCTAAATTTCCTTTATGCCAAAGGAATAGTTCACCATTAAGGGAAATAAGCCTTTTCGGTCCCCTCTGGTTGCCTTCAGTAAGTTACTGCTGTTTCCTTGTTTCCAGTCTTTATGCTAAGGATTCATAAGGACAGCTATGAGACGAGTATCAATCACACATCTAACTCTCAAAATGAAAATGAATTACTTTATTTCCCAACATGTTGAACTATTTCTTTAAACAAGTGAATGAAACAGATTAATTTCCTTACCAGTAACAGAGAGTCTGACAGAGTCACTTAAAGTGGAGCTGAAGACTCGACTGGAAACACTTGTCTGATACTGACACTGGTACGATCCTTCGTTATCAAAGTTCACTTTAGGTATAATGAAGGTAGCAGAGTTGGTACTTGATGTTTGGGTCTTTCTGAATGAGCCTGAGGTCTGCTGCAGGAGGAATGTTCCACCTAAATTAACCTGAATTGAGATGGAACAAGTGATGCTGACGTCCTGACCCCAGGTAACCTCACCAGCAGGATTCATGGAGATGCTGGGCTTTGAGAGGCTCTCTGAAAAAATAACACAACAATAAAATATTAAATGTATTATATATTTGATCCCGGCTGTGTGAAATTTTAACAACTCATAATCCTCTTTGTGTATCTAATAGTAGAAGGTTAAAGATTTGAGAATTTTAAGTATTATTCCATTATTGTAAATATGCTACATATGTACATGAGACTCCTTTCCATTTTGGCTTTGTGCCCTTTCACAGATTTTGACTGAAGGACTGGTGGTCTTTTACTTTTAGAGAGACAATGTCGGTAGGTAGGTTGACTGATTTATTTTATCACAAAACAACAGATTATAGAGTGAAATTGAGTTTGTAACTCCCTTCTGCTAGGTAGCAGACAATGTACATAAATATAGAAGAAATTATTTTAAAAAATGGTCAACAGAAATAAATTACAGTCAGTGGAGCAGTGCTGAGGATGAATTTGAGGTTAAAAGTCAATGTAAAGTGTAATAAATTACTGTAAGATGGATGTGTTTATGTTCTATGTGCCCCCCCCCCCCCCCCCCCACACACATTTTCTCTTGTCATTGTCAATGTTTGCATCACAAAGTTACATTGGGAGAAAATTCTTCAAATCCCAGAATACCATGATGAAAAGTTAAAGCAAGAATAGTAATAGTTAAGAGACAAATCACACCACACAGAAACACTATTGCAGTTACGTGCTACCTCATGAACATAGACACCTGGGTTGTCAAAAACTAATTTCCATTGTGGTCCTGTAATGTAGTAATTTAAAGATGGCAAGTCAAACTACAGATGACTTAAGGTACCCTGTCCAGATAATCCTTACACTATACTAAAAATAAACCCTAACACATTCTGATACAAATATACAAAATAAGATTACAATAGATTTTATTTCATTTATATATAACACAAAGAGCAATGCACCCAGGACTGTTCCTTGCTGCACAACGCATGCAGTTTCTCTGACCTCAGACAGAGAGTTATACTGTTTAAACCTAGAGCTTAGTTTAACTAGCAGAAGCCGATGGTCAACGGTGTCAAGGGCTTTCTGGAGGTCTAACGGTACCATGCCACAGAATTTACCCAAGTCGATCTCTTTCCTTATATAGTCTGATAAACATAATAAAGGACATTCACTTTGGTGACCAGGCATCTCTGTTAAGGTTGGAAATGAAATTAATGTTACACAGAGAGAAACAGAGAGAGAGAGAGAGAGAGAGAGAGAGAGAAAGAAAAGGGAGAACTGGCCTGCTGGCACAGAGAGAAAAGTGAAATAGAAAATGATTCATGTTATGTAATTCAGTTTAAATCAGATGAGAGTATTACATGCAAACTGTTAAAAGTGACAAGCAGAGTGTTGCTGGGTTCCAAATTCCTCAAAAAAAAGATGTGAAAACACAGTGAAAAATCGTGGTGAGATTTATTATGCCAGCTTTCCAAGGTGCAAACAGTGAAAGTATAGTGCAAAAATAACAGACACCAGAGAGCAAACAAATAAAAAAAGAGAAGTTGGAAAGAGTTTCTCAATAACTCAGCAAATCTTTTGACAAGAATACAATTTGCCACCCAGTCTGGCAGTTCACTAGCTGTTACTTCCTCTGTAACCAAGACAAGACTGACTTCACGGGCCCAAGGCCGCCACTTTTAAAGCCAGCAGTCCCTCCCACTAGGCTTAAAAATGCAATAAACCCATTTTCATACTAGATCAAAGATCTTTTTATAATCAATTATCCCCACATACATTTTCCTTCAATCCTTCAAGTCATCTGCAGGAAAAATTATTATTACTGGAATGAAGTGGAATGGGAGTAGAAGAGCAGCATGTGTTATGTTTGCACTTTCACTCTGTATGTCCTGTATTTTAAGCCAGCTTGGCTCTATGGCTGGCTGTGTCTGTCAGTCCACCGGTTTGGTCTATGCTGAAATATCTCTACAAAAACTAGACTGAAACGTGGGAAAGCCATTCATGATGTGCAGTATAACTGACTTTTCAGCTACTGCTACCAGATCAGAAATGTGATTTATCCAGTAAAATATCTTCACATCTATGAGAAGGACTGGCAAAAGACATTGTTTCCCAGAGGAATAAATCTTAGCACCTTTGGTGATCCCCTGATTTTTGACCTTTTTGTTTTTCTTTATGAGCATTACATCCTCACAGAGCCACTAGCATGGCTGTACACTTTTAGGCTGTTTGTACTCCATTTCTGTGTATGTGAATGGGCCATGGTTTGAGGGATGTGTTCCTTTTTGCCCCAGACCAATCACTATAATGTGAGGTGTAGGAAAGTTTTCATCAAAACATCCCCGATTCCTAAATGTCCTGAAGGCAGCAGGACCCAAACAACCTTCTTTATGCAGTGTATCACGACACTGTGTCCCTTTCTTTTAATCCCACACCACAAACCAGAGGGGGCAAAAAGTCAGTTAAAGAGAAATAAGCTCTGAAAAATGAACAAAGGGTTTTTTGGAACATACAGTCTCAGACAAGGCAAAGTTTTACTGCTAATTAGGCTACTGTTGTTGTTATTAGTAGTAGAAGTAATGGTAGTATTACTGCTTTACTTATGAATAGCTACATATAAGAGAAATGATTACAAAATCTTTCTCACCTGAACAGACCACTCCAGCATCCTCACCATGTCTACAGTTGTGTTTCCCAAATCCTCCATGCTGACACTGAGTCAGAGACCTTTCACTTCCTGAACAGGCCACATCATCAAACCAGATTTGACCGGTTCCTTGACCAAAATGGGCCAACTGAGGGGCACTCAGTGCTGCACCACAGTCCAGCTCCCTGCACACCACCTCAGCATCATTTAAGTCCCAGCTGTCATCACAGACTGTTCCCCAGGCGTTGTTGTAATAGATTTCAACTCTCCCAGAGCACCGAGTAGACCCGGACCCAGCTAGTCTGATCTGACCATCTATCAGACATTTAAGACACAACATAGAACATTTTATACACAAAGTAAACAGCAAACTAACATTACTGTACGCATGACACAGGAGAATGAACTGACCTGCAGCAGGTGAAGAAGCGGTCAGGAGGAAAAAGACTGTGGAACAGAAGAAATGACATGGCTCATTACATTCAGTAAACTGAAAAGTGCAGAATTAAAGTTTTCCTTGTTTCTGTTTTAGATTCCCGTGTTTATTTTAATGATAGGAAGTTTTTTTAAATGAAAAGATTGGCCTTAAGAGACTTTTGTTCCATAGCCTACAATACAACAACCCTGCTATACTAAAAAAGCCTTTCAAATTAAATTTTGGAAAGTTTGTCTTACCAAGGGCCAAATAGCGTAGGTTTCTCTGCTGTATGCTCCCCATAGCTGACATGACAGCTGCTCTGTGTCAGTTATCAGTACCACCACAGATTAACTAAAAACTGCAGTGCACAGAAACATTTCACACAGGTTGTCCTTCCTGAAACACTTCCTGTTTCTGGTGGGGGTGTTTTGTTTTTGTTTTTACTAAATGTCAGAAGCTCTAAACCACTGAACAAAAGCTGCAGCACTGAAGCACCACATTTATCACCAGTTCTGGATATTGAAATTGTTGTTGATTAACACAAAGATCCAAAAAACGCTGCCTGCTTTATCTCCTCCACATACGTTTCCATTTTGTGTGTAAACTCATGCACTGCACTAGGCTATTACCTAGTATAGTATATGTATTCACTATCTGTTTTTATGTATTTCGGCATCTAATTGTTTACAGAATAATAAAGTGGTCAGTGGTATTTTTCCAACTGTGATGTGATTTTATGAGGCACACGAGTCTTTGAGAAGCGAAAGTGAAAGGAGTTGGTGGTACCTCGCTAAGAAGCTGGGTGTGTGCAGACGAATGCCACTGACTCCGTCTGCGTTCCGTTACGGCTGCGCCGCAGTTGCCGGAGCTATTCGCGGTCATAGTTAATGCTTGTGAGTCCACCAGATGGAGCCTCAGCGTGTCCCTGAAGCAGCTCTTCGCTCTGCAGAATAGATCGAACTGGACAGAAAGGCATAGGTTTAGAGAATCCAGTCAATTTTCAAAATATAACACCCTCTGCAGATTCCTGATCATAAAACAGCAATAAATACTAAATACTGTTAAATCACACAAATAAAGAAACCATAGCCTACTTAATCATAGCAGAAGTACAAAAAGCACTGATTACCAAATAAACAAAATCTAAACATGTGTAGCCAGGTGAATTAGGGGTACAGAGTTCAGTAGTGTAATGTGGGTTATAGTGTTATGTAATTGCTGGTGGGATTACTGCAGGATAACGTTCCTCTCTATTTAATAGCACTGTTGCTTGAAGACCTGGGTGTCCCAGCTGATTCCTGACGATTCATAGCCGAATGAGTGTGTGTGTGTGTGTGTGTGTGTGTGTGTGTGTGTGTGTGTGTATCTTTGCCATGAGTGGAAGAGACTCTGACCAGCGGCAACAGCTTGAGTGACAACAAAGTGTATTAACAAACAAAATCATTATATTAGTGTATGTTGATGCTGTAAATAATGTTTATTTCGTGCTTTCCCGTTAACTTAGAGGGGGGATACACGTGCGAAGTTCCTAGTGTGTGTGTGTATGTGTGTGTGAGTGTGTGTGTGGGCGTGTCCTGAGGACACATTAGAACAGTGAGTTACTGATTTCATTCATAAAATGTTAATTCTGAGTTTCTGTATAAAGTGCTGGGCAAATAGTATTCTGTGAATGAATGTATTCTGTGTTTTCTGCTAAATTCAAATATTTCCCCTTGAGTATTCACTATGTCGCCAAGTGAACGTATTTATTTATATTTGTTTTTTATTTTTCTCTATTTAGAAAAGGCCACTACTGTTGTCTAGTCTAGAGTGGTGTTATCTAGTCTGGATCTCTATTTAGAAAAGGCCACTACTGTTGTCTAGTCTAGAGTGGTGTTATCTAGTCTAGATCTGTAGTCTTGATTGTTTTCTAGAGTTTCCGTTTTATAGATTGTGTTGTCGAGAATGTAGGTCTAGAGTTCCTGTTAGCAGTAACTGATGTCTACAAGAGTGAGTGTAAACTAGTTTATGGCAGCTGTTTACATATTGTGGTATGGTTCAGGGGTACTATAGTGTACTGTTAAGTCACATAGTTGAGATCAGATGCAATAAGCAAAGGACAAGTAAGAAAGCTATTCCTGTGTTGTGTATAACCCCTTGACTTTACATTATTAATGCTGTTCTAATTCGAGTCCAGCCCTGGCCTGGCCACACGTCAGCAAAATCAGGCAGGCAAAATGCTTTGATTCTGAAATGCTCCTTGTGGGATATGCAGCCTGCAGATGGAACAAAACCGGTTCACAGTGAGCTGTGAAGAAGGCAGTAGAAGCAAAAAATTGACGTGGGGCAGGCTGCACGCTCAGCTGCTGAAACGCTCACAGTGGACTTGGCTATGGTAAGGGTAGGGGGCTTCGGGGGGCGGTCAACACCTTTAACATGAACGTAGCTAGCTAGCACTTCCGGTCAGTATGAGAATGCATCCAGGAGCGTCTCAGGAAAAATGCTTTTTAAACCTTATTTTGGGGCAAAGTTGTCAAACTTTTTCAGCAATTTTTTATCAGATTTGGTGATTCTATTCATGTGTTTTTTATGTCCTGGTGACCTGTAAAAGTGCAGTTCTATCTCACACAGGCTCTGCCCTCTACTGGACTCTATGGGTACTATCTCCTCCAATCACACACACTTTTATCGTGCACGTAGCCGACCAATAGGACGTTGCTACCGATACGTGCGTGACGTATAAATAGCAGTGTCCCTACTGCCTCAGCATCCTTTTTTCTTCAGCAAACGGGTGAACTGCTCACTGAATTCACCACCTCCACGGATGGAGTCACCACTTCTAGAAAATGATCTTGCATCCGGGCGAGTCCAGGCCCCCCGCCAGCCGACCTGCGGCTGCTAGCCTGAGTGACAGCCGTCTGTTAGCCTCACTCAGCCAACGGAGTTCTCCATCTCTGCCATGTTTGCCTTTTTTTCTGGATAATTTCATACAATTAAAATTAAAATATGTCTTGCTGTGCGGTTAATTGTACTAACAGACCGTCCAAGAAGTCTGTGCTCCAGTTTTTTCAGTAAGTGAAATTCTAATATTAGTTTATTTATATGTTAGCAATAATTAGCAGGTATTGCTGTTAAGCCAGCATGCACCAATGTCAAAACGTGTACGTAAATAGAGACATTCTAGAATTTATGGGGATAATACTTTTGAACAAAAGGGGTCTGGTAAGGGGTGAGGTTAGATCATGGATTGGAAAATTGAGCGGTAGGGGGGCGTTTGTGCTTTTCACAAAGTTCGCGCCGATCATGTCTTCCTTCAGTGAAGAAGACAGACAGGCATTTTGCATTTTTTACTAAATACTATCAGTCCGGTTGCTTAAGGAACTTAGGGTGTGTTGCGGTGTAGTCTGATGAGTATTTCGTATTTGCCTATTTGCCAGTGCATTTTCCTGTGTGCAGTCTGGCGGTGCCCTAAAGGGATGAGTCGAATTCGATCTATGTTAACTTTTAAGGACACCGAGACCATTTTACACGCCTTCATCTCATCACGCCTGGATTATTGCAACAGCCTTTTCACTTGTTTAACCCAAAAATCTATTGATCGACTCCAGACTGTCCAGAACTCAGCTGCCAGGCTTTTAACCAGAACAAAGAAATATGACCACATTACCCCTATTTTAGCTTCATTACACTGGCTCCCAGTATGTTTTAGAATTGACTTTAAAATTCTATTGATCACTTTTAAAGCTCTTCATGGCCTCTCGCCTTGTTATATTTCTGACCTTTTAGTCCCATACGCACCAGCACGTACCTTGAGATCCTCGGGCAGAGGTCTGTTGTCTGTTCCAGAGTCTCAACTGAAAACTAAAGGGGACAGAGCGTTTGTTGTCAGGGCCCCGAGGCTCTGGAACAGCCTGCCCGAGAAAATCAGGTCGGCTGAGTCAGTGAACTCTTTTAAGTCCCTTCTTAAAACATACTTTTATAGGAGAGCCTTTCCCGATCTTATTTGACTTTATTTTATCCCTTTTATTTTATTGTATTTTACTCATTTTATATAAATTTTTCATGCTCTTATCTTGTTTTTTGTATTATTCTTTACACTTGTTAAAGCATTTTGTAACTTGTTTTTGAAAAGTACTCTACAAATAAGGATTATTATTATTATTATTATTATATGAGTCGCTGTAGGAGCATAGGTGTAGATAACTGTAAACTGTGATGTGATAAATGTTGACTTGATGCCCTTCATACAGGCACAGTCTTCCTACTCGGCCTGAAAAACACATGGAAAATAAGGGGAAAAGTAAAATGTCCGGGGAAATAATTTTAACATTAGGACGGTTTGCTCGGTTAGTTGCGGCAGCTGTGTGAACACACCCCCGGGTTACGTTAGTAGCACAGGCTCGATGACATTAAATTCCAGTGGCCAAAACTCTGAATGTCGCGAGTTGCATTATCCTCCAAAGGTAAATATTTTTCACTGCTGACTGCTAACTGTGGTAGTTTTTATTACATTTATAGATTAATGTTTTCCTATCAATGTATTTTAAACGAATGAATAATGTAAAATTGGATAGCTAGCTTGAGGTTAAGGCGTGTCAGCTCTGGCTAGGAGCATGGTTTCAAATGTGTTGAGAACGTTGGATAAAAATGAAAATGAAGCCGGCTAAATACGGGCTAACACTTTGCAAAAATAGTCTCTTTGAACGCAACACTAACGTTACGGTATGATAAAATGGACCATAACATAACATGAAGGTTTGTAGCAGTAAGCTCACCGCGGGTTGTTGTTGTGATTAGCTTTGTTAGTAAAGCGGCTAACATATGGTGTGACAAACTGATTTAACTGTAATGTCAGGGTTTTTATTACCGCATTACACTCGCAAATCAAAACACCAAGTTTGTTGTTAAGTTTAAATAAACTGTGGCGTTGTGGCAGTGCTTTGAGGAATTTACAGAGAGCAACATGTCTGAACAAGCTTTTTGTACTGTTACACTGCATTTGGGCTCAGGACCACTGTAGGAGCCATTTAATTTTTATTGTTATCACGGTGATTTTAGAAAGCTAATGTTCCACAGGATACTGGGATTTGTCAGTAGGCAAAATGTAGACTTTTTGTTCAGTTTTTGGTGTTCATGCTGCAGTGGTTTAAAAATAATTCATAAGAAAAGCACTTTGGAACACTGCCTGGAACACAAATGACTATATGATACTATAAAAAAAACATCAATATTAAAACATAGCATTATAAGAAGGACCCATTTGTCATTATTTCTAAACATGTAGTAGATGATTTTATAGATAGGTTATAGCCACAGACTGCATGTCTTTAAAATCAGACTTCCACAGAGAGTGTATGACGTGATTCCTGTCTGTCATACCAGCTAGATCTTCACTGAAAATCGACTTGAA